TTGAAAAATCAATTCGAGGGGGGGGGGGTGGGGGGGGGTCTGAATTGAGCGATCAATTATTAGACCCGGACGTCCCGACACTTGCTTCGCAAGACAAACTCAAGGTATCCCCTAAAGGGCTACCTTTCGTGAAATGAAAGGAGCCAAAGGAGCCGAAGGAGACGAAGGAGCAGGGGCTTCACTTCTCCCCCAGAGTCTAGCCACAATGGTCACAACGCTTCAGGGATGACGTCACGACGTAGAATAAAATAGAATGACACCATTTCTGTGGCCGCCTCCATTTATTACATGGTGACATATTTGGAGTCACTTGCGGTGCAGCAGCCGACCACCCTTTTTGTCGCGTTGTGAATGCAATTGCCAAGATTGGCAAATTGTGCAAGCATATGAACTAATTTGAGTTTCCTGCAGGTGTAAAACTTGCAAAACAATGTTCACTCCCACAGGAGAGGCATTAGCCGCATGCATGTAACTCATCTGCCGAATTTCTATCAGAACAACCTACCTCCTGTCTTGAGCAATGAAGCCGCATGCGGAAATATAAATCCTCTGGCAATGATCCCTGAATCGGTGTACTATTGAATCTCATCTCTGGCACTTCAACACAGGAGAAATCTGGGATCCTGTGAAACTGCAGCTGGACATATAAATACCACCAATAGACCTTTCAATCAAAGTCAACGAATCCACTGAAGCTGACCCCAGCTGAAAGCTGGTGTCGACATGTCAAACTCCTGGCGTCGCCAAGCTTGCATGAAAAAAGCACGCAAAAAACGGACTCTGCAAGAGTTTGACACATTTCATGCAAATTTGAAAAGCAAACTAAACAGACCGTTTCCCCAGGAGTATTGAGTTCGCAGTCCTTTACACATCTCAGTACTTTCCAACCTGCACCTTCTTTCTGGCTGCATTGAATTTTGCCTGCGCGCTCAAGGCGGGCAACACAGGCTTTCAATCTGTCTGGGGGCGGTCTGTCGCAAGAAGCAGTGCCACTCTGGGTCCGTTCCACAAATACAAACCCTGTAACTATGAACTCCTAAAACTTCCCAACAAAAACCCATGTCAACATCAACGTCTTTCTGTTGCGATATCCAAACAGAAATGTTTCCTTCCCAAACGGCACAGTGGCGTGGCAATGCGTGGCAATGGAATCGTTCGTTGGGTGTCTCCCGAAGGCGTCGCTCGGCGGCACCACTCGCTTCATCTTTCCTGCAGCAGGCGTCGAAGCTTGATGAGCTGAGCGAACTTGGTCTCCATGGCGCGGGTCATGCTCAAATATTGAGCCCTCTCCTGGCCGACCCCAAAGGAGTTGAATCGACCCCACATGGTTGCACATAGTTGAATCGGCCAGTCGGCGATTGGTTGGGGTCAAATGAGCTCATTATTGGTTCTGATGATCAAGATCAAATACCCAACCATCCCTGCGGTAGGACCCATGGGCGCAGGAGGTCACCAGGAGAATAAATTGAACATGCGAGTCTCTACAGCCAAAAGGGTAGAACAGGGCTTGATTATAAAAAGATAAGATAAGTGTGTAGAATCTAGAAGATTATGAAACCATTGACTTCTGCCGCGACAGTCTGGCCTCGCTCCAATCAACAGATGGCACTGCGCGATCTGCAGGCAGACCTTGCTTCTCCTTGCGTCGCTTCTCCTGAGACACAAATCCCAATGGTGAAAGAGGCGGGTAAGGGATCAAAAAAAATTAAAAAAGAATCAAAAAAATATTCAACGGGGATCAATAAAAAAATAAAAAGGGAATAAAAAAAAATATTCTAGCCCACTGAGGATGGTTGGGGTAGTAGTAGTAGTAGTAGTAGTAGTAGGAGTAGCAGTAGCAGTAGCAGTAGCAGTAGCAGCAGCACCAGCACCAGCACCAGCACCAGCACCAGCACCAGCACCAGCACCAGCACCAGCGTAGCAGTAGCAGTAGCAGCAGCAGCACAGGACCAGAGGACCAGGAGACCGGAGGACTAGGGGACCAGTGGACTGAAGGACCAAGGGACCAGGGGACCAAAGGACCAGTGGACCAAGGGACCACATTACCAGAGGACCCGCAGACCACAAGGCCAGGAGAGCAGCAGAAGAGGCCTATCAAGGAATATTTATTTTTTGATCCTGTGTTTTTTTTTTGGATCCTGTTTTTATTTTTTTTTTGATGCTCTTTTTATTTTTTTTTGATACCTATGCCGAAAGAGGCGGTCACGAGGAAGAACATGGATAGAATGATAGAAGGATAAATGGGAAAAAGTTAGCTAACCCTCTTTGAGACACGCCTTCCTCAACAGGTTGGAGGCCACTCCTGATCCACCCAAGCACCACAAGCACGCATTTGCTGCCCGGGCTGTTGCGCAGCGCTCACAGCTCTCGCGCTCTGGCCGGCAAGTTACAGTAGAATTCGAGAAAGCCATGTCAGGTTTGTGATGACCTAAGATGACCTGAAAAACACATCTTTTGTCTCGGACATTCTCGAACTAGAGGCATTCTTGGTTCGTTGAGTCGGCAAAGGAGTTCTTTTGGCATCACAATGAAGAATCATAGCGATCATGTTGCAGGCCGCCATAAGTTGATTGACATCCTGACATCACAAACTGCGGATTGCCTAGCCTGCTCTGCCTCGGCCATCACCCGCTGCACCTGAAGGATACAGCCAAGGTCCCGGGACACCAAGGGCTGATACAAGGTGATTGACACCTACCGAAGCCTCAGGATGTTGAATTTATCTTCTGTCTTCAACCTATAGCCTATGGAACACTCTACAGTAGAACACAACCCGATCAAAGATCTGGCTAAGACGCGGGCCTGCGCAGTTAGGGCTTGCGACGCCTTGTGCTCCAGTTGAAGGACTGTATGGCCCAGAAGGACCGTTACTAGGAATTAGCCATGCCATGCCATGCCTTTATTTCAGATGTTAAGAGAATTGGACATTTAGCGATCGGTCTTCCCACCTGTGCGATCTCCCCCTCGAGAGCACTGCAAAGCTCCTTCAGATCTTCACCTCCAAAGACTTGCAAGTCTTTGAGGCTGCGTTCCGGGCCAGCCCCCGGCCTCAGGCAAACTGCAAACTGCCACAAGAAACATGCCAAAACATCCAGAAAAAGTGTGCGATTGTATAGTCATCCTGGACTAGATAGAATATGAGAAAATCATAGAACATCTAAGAAAGAATAGGAAAGCGGTCATGTGTTTTGATTGGTTCATATTCTATCTACTCCGGGACGATCATAATTCAAACAAGTCGCACCCAGTCACTTGAAGCACATGCAAAGCATCCAGAGTGCCTGAGATGTTCTCGCGAAAGCTGCAAGAAAAGCGCAAATTCGCATCTCTCCATGGTCTCCACTTGCCATTGGGACAATCACTTCTTCTGAATCCCATCTGAATTCTCCGGCCTGTGGAAGGTTTCCCTGGATGCTGCCCTTCGTCGTCCAGCACCTGAGCATTTGGCTCTTTAGACCTACTATACGGGGCAAAGCAAGTCTTGTTCTCAGCGGATAATTTTGAAGCACTGCTTCCCAGTTCTCAGAAACATGGAAAGACATAAAAGAAATTTCTGGTGACAAGCACTCCCAAGCACCAGGCAATTGACGCCGCCAGGTGTTGGTGAAGGAGATCGCATGCGCAAGCGCGTGAAAGGAGTAGGGTCGTAGAACAAGGTCTGCAAGGCCTTGATGAAGCGGTCAAACTGATAATTCTTAGAAGAATGCATTCTCGCATTTCTGAGGAAGGGTAAAGGATGAAGTGATGTCTATGTCCGATCGCAAACTCTGGTGTCCGGGTAGCTAAATTGAGTCCATTCAAAAAACAAATCATAATGCTGGCCGGATAGTAGGGAGCAGTCAAAAATGTGAAAGAATAGTCCGAGGAGAACTTAGATGTTTCGCTGTTGACTTGGAGCTCGAAGAAGCTCGGAGCATGGCAGAGAGCAAATCCACCAAGAACTGGAGCAGTGAAGTTCGTTCCTGAAGGCACCTGCTGGAGCAACGAAGCATTGCAAGCAAGCCAACGATCGGTCCTCTGACATCTCATTTAAAAAGAAAAAAAAGATATGTACATGAAGTAATATTGATACTAGTGATATAGTTACATAATAGTCGTCAAATATCTATTTGTTTTAAAAAGAAGTATGCATAAAGCAATATTGTTATACTCCTCAATTCCGAGGCACGAGAATAATGCCGTCTCCACGTCCGAAGACTGCGAACCCCGGTCCTGGAATCTTGTTGTTTTGATGAATAATGGAATAATTATTGCTGGAATTGCATTTGAGGTATAAGAAAATGTGTTTTGAGGAATTGCTGGCGGATGTTATTGGACTTCTCCTGCAATTCTTTCTCCGCGAGGCCGTTTGCCTCCTGCAGTCATGCGAGAGGGAAGACATGACAAGAAATCAGTGAAAACCAAAAAATCTGTCTCCGATCGATCTAACCAACTTGTCCTGCAAAGCTTCTATTTGTTCTCGTTGCTCCGAGATTATTCGCTCGAAACCTGGAAAGATGGACAAAACATAAGGTCTACTTTAAAAAATGAGGAACAAAGAAACATGTAAAAGACTTGGGCTCGGAACAAATCAGTCAACTCAGAGCTCCGAGGTTCCAGCGCTGGCGCTTCTCATCTGCGTTTGCCCTTGTTTGATTGACCTCGAAAGAACAAAAAACAACTAAAGATAGCTACAGTAAAATATATTCCACTTTTTCATTGGCCAAGCAACTTCTACATGATGCTCCAGTAAAGCTTCCTACACCCACATGACTTGGGCCCATCAATGGTCTAGAGGTTGGACGTTGGTGTTCCATGTCATGCGGCCCCTGGGACAAAGATGGCCACATCAATCTGAATCCAATTTGTTGATTCTCTATGGTGTTTTGGTCTGTGCTTCGATGTGCAGCACACAGTATTATATGTTACCTATTATATACTATATTACATATAAATATCATAATATATACAATATATATATACTATGAATCGATGTGCATCCTGTCCGTCTCGCCTCCGCACGCAAGGCCACCAGCTGCTCTTTGGCCTCGCGGTGCTCGCGTCGAAGGCGTTGGACATCGGAGAGCTCCCGCCTCAGCGTTGAACGGAAAGCTCCACACTAAGACCTCTCGGCGACTTTGGCCCTGATCCTTTTGGCCCTTGTAGGTTGATCATCCAGAGCATCAAGAGCAGGTGTTCTTCTTGAACCAAGACGAAGTGAGCAACAAGCGCTGGACACAATATTCTATAGCAGCAAATCACTGCTCCCATGAAATACGCAATAGATTGAAGTAGGGCTATTCAGGAACATCCTGGCTCATCTAGCTCTGTCCATCTTGTCCAGCAGAATAGAAGTCTATTGATGGCAATATTGGCAATACCCTGGACCTAGCTTCAAATTTTACGGACCTCCAAGGACCTCTCTGCAAGGTCACATCTCAAGTTGCTTGCCATCTCTACGAGTTTCGGGGAATGTCCTCATCTCAGCTCGGCGCTGTCTCTCTTCCATCAAGGCACAGTGCCCGGCCTCGAACCAAGAAAAACCTAGAAAAATCACATTTAGGTCCCTCCACCCTGTTGTGTTGGCGTTGAGTGTTAGAGCTTCTCAGAGTCGTTGGCATTTCACCGTCATTGAGTCATGGTATAGAAAGTTCTGACTCCGCCTCGGACCTTTCCACCAGCATGGTGAGGCGCAAGATCTGTTGCAAGCAATGAACGAAGCAAGCTCGAAACAAGCTGCTCAGCTCCATTTTGGACTATATAACTGCTACCAAGTGAGAATCTGCCAAGACTTTTCTCCGACCTCGGCTTCTTGCTCTGCTGCTTTCCTCAAAGCTTCATCACGAGCTCGTTGGAGAGCCTCGATGTGATCCTGCAGCTCTCCATGCTCCGTCCATCTCTACCCTCTGACATCGTCTGACATGCTTGGCATCATGTTACATCATGGGTGTCTTATATGTGTTATTCTTGTCCCGCTCCTACTTAACTAAGTAAGGGCAACATAGGGCAACTAGTTAGCTTCTAGTGTGTGCCCCCAAAGGTGGCGGGGGAGTTTCCTTGAAAAAACGTTCACACTAATGACACTAGTGATTTGGTTCCTAGATCTTTTTTGGCAAACTTATATGTGTCTTCCTACATGTCTTCCTCTGCCTTCGGGTCTTCTGCAGTTGCGAAAAGGTCCTTTTTTCCTGCTCGCCGTGGGTGAATGCCCACCTTGCTGTGTGAGACGTGCCTTACACACGGGCCATGATGGCCCAAAGGATGTCTGAACGTCAGCCTTGTCACATCGTCCATCTTTCTGTGAGGATTCACATCCCATCTTTCTGTGTCATCGAACTTCTCCGCTGCTTCCCTTTGCTCCACTCATGCCAAGAAGATCTTGGAGAAAAGAGTGATAGGGTTCATGGTAAATTCGCCGGAGTACCACAATCCATATGCAAAAACGCCTGGCACCAAGCTGTAGTGAAAGACTGCGTGCCCCCAGGAGTCCCATGCCTGTGCTGCACGTTTCATGGCGATGGCTGTTCTCACTTCCATCTTCTTCCGTGCCTCTGGGTCCATTGAGGACACGGCGTTCCCCATTGCTGATCCAACTAGATCTAACGTTTGCACTACTTAGTACTACCAAGGTACAGACCAGCACCTTGAGCCGCGTCTCAGCATCACAGGATTCGGACAGCACAGCCTAGCTAGCTATTTTGTTGCAAACAGCTCAGGCATTGAGTTTTGCAATTGAAAGGCGTCAGAACATGTCAAGACTCTCCAGGCAAGTTGCTTGCCTGCGATCTCTCCAGTGCCAGAGCTAAAGCATTGTCCCGTGGCTGGCTATGGCTGCGCCTGCAGGTAGACTTAGGCTGTGCCGTGCCTAGTAGGATGCAGGCCATCGCTAGTAGTTTTTGAGGCCATCGCTAGTAGGTTGGAGGCCAGCGCTAGTAGGTTGGAGGCCATCGCTATTAGGTTGGAGGCCATCGCTAGTAGGTTGGAGGCCATCGCCATTAGGTTGGAGGCCATCGCTA